ATGGGGGCCCAATTAAAATGTTAAATTGCCAAAATTCCAACAGAGCAAATTTAAAAAATTTTTTTTTTTTACTTTCAACACGCTCCCACCGCGGGTCCAAGCCCCCCAAAAAAAATCCTTTACCCCCCCCCCAACCCTTCACCACCCCTACCCGTTTTCCCCAAGACTGATACATTCTTGAATTTTTTCTGTTTCGCTCCATTCTCTCTACATGTCCAAACCCACCTCAACAACCCTCCTCCGCCCTCTGGACAACAGTTTTGGTAACCCCGCACCTCCCCTAACTTCCAAACTACGAATTTCTGCATTATATTCACACCACACATTGCCCTTAGACAGGGACATCTCCACTGCCTCCAGCCTTCTCCTCGCTGCAACATTAACACCCATGCTTCAACCCATATAAGAGCGTTGGTTAAAACTATACTCTCATACATTCCCCTCTTTGCCTCCAAGGACAAAGTTCTCTGTCTCCACAGACTCCTAAGTGCACCACTCACCTTTTTCCCCTCATCAATTCTTTTGATTCACCTCATCTTTCATAGACCCATCCGCGGGACACGTCCACTCCCAATATCTGAATACTTCACTCCCATACTCTCTCTCCTCCAATCTGATATTCAAATCTTTCATCACTAATCTTTTTGTTATCCTCATAACCTTACTCTTTCCTGTGTTCACCTTTAATTTTCTTCTTTGCACACCTTACCAAATCATCCACAATCTCTGCAGTTCTCTTCAGAATCTCCCAAGAGCACAGTGTCATCAGCAAAAGAGTCAGCTGTGACAATCCCACTTGTGTGTGATTCATTATCTTTAACTCCACCGCCTCTTGCCAAGACCCTCGCATTTACTTCTTTACAACCCCATCTATAAAATATATTAAACAACCATGGTGACATCACACATCCTGTCTAAGACCTACTTTTTACTGGGAATAAAATTTCCCTCTTATTCTACATACTCTAACTGAGCCTCACTATCCTCGTAAAAACTCTTCACTGCTTTCAGTAACTACCTCCTACACCATAACTTGCAACATCTGCCACATTGCCCCCTATCCACCCTGTCATACGCCTTTTCCAAATCCATAAATGCCACAAAGAACTCCTTTAGCTTATCTAAATACTGTTCACTTATATGTTTCACTGTAAACACCTGTCCACACACCCCTACCATCCTAAAAGCCTCCTTGTTCATCTGCTATCCTATTCTCGTCTTACTCTTAATTCTTTCAATTATAACTCTACCATACACTTTCCAGGTACACTCAACAGAACTTATCCCTATAATTTTTGCATCTCTTTTATCCCCTTTGCCTTTATAAAAGGAACTATCATGCTCTCTGCCAATCCCTAGGTACCTTACCCCTCTTTCATACATTATTAAATAAATTGCACCAACCACTCCAAACTATATCCCCACCTGCTTTTAACATTTCTATCTTATCCCATCAATCCCGGCTGCCTTACCCCCCTTTCATTTTACTAACTGCTCACGACTTCCCCCACACACAACTGGCTCTTCTTCACTCCTACAAGATGTTATTCCTCCTTGCCCTATACACGAAATCACAGCTTCCCTATCTTCATCAACATTTAACAATTCCTCAAAATATTCCCTCCATCTTCCCAATACCTCTAACTCTCCATTTAATAACTCTCCTCTCCTATTTTTAACTGACAAATCCATTTGTTCTCTAGGCTTCCTTAACTTGTTAATCTCACTCCAAAACTTTTTCTTATTTTCAACAAAATTTGTTGATAACAGCTCACCCACTCTCTCATTTGCTCTCTTTTTACATTGCTTCACCACTCTCTTAACCTCTCTCTTTTTCTCCATATACTCTTCCCTCCTTGCATCACTTCTACTTTGTAAAAACTTCTCATATGCTAACTTTTTCTCCTTACTACTCTCTTTACATCATCATTCCACCAATCGCTCCTCTTCCCTCCTGCACCCACTTTCCTGTAACCACAAACTTCTGCTGAACACTCTAACATCTACATTTTTAAACCTACCCCATTCCTCTTCGACCCCATTGCCTATGCTCTCATTAGCCCATCTATCCTCCAATAGCTGTTTATATCTACCCTAACTGCCTCCTCTTTTAGTTTATAAACCTTCACCTCTCTCTTCCCTGATGCTTCTGTTCTCCTTGTATCCCATCTACCTTTACTCTCAGTGTAGCTACAACTAGAAAGTGATCTGATATATCTGTGGCCCCTCGATAAACATGTACATCCTGAAGTCTACTCAACAGTCTTTTATCTACTAATACATAATCCAACAAACTACTGTCATTTCGCCCTACATCATATCGTGTATACTTATTTATCCTCTTTTTCTTAAAATATGTATTACCTATAACTAAACCCCTTTCTATACAAAGTTCAATCAAAGGGCTCCCATTATCATTTACACCTGGCACCCCAAACTTACCTACCACACCCTCTCTAAAAGTTTCTCCTACTTTAGCATTCAGGTCCCCTACCACAATTACTCTCTCACTTGGTTCAAAGGCTCCTATACATTCACTTAACATCTCCCAAAATCTCCTCTCTCTCCTCTGCATTCCTCTCTTCTCCAGGTGCATACACGCTTATTATGACCCACTTCTCGCATCCAACCTTTACTTTAATCCACATAATTCTCGAATTTACACATTCATATTCTCTTTTCTCCTTCCATAACTGATCATTTAACATTACTGCTACCCCTTCCTTTGCTCTAACTCTCTCAGATACTCCAGATTTAATCCCATTTATTTCCCCCCACTGAAACTCTCCTACCCCCTTCAGCTTTATTTCGCTTAGAGCCAGGACATCCAACTTCTTTTCATTCATAACATCAGCAATCATCTGTTTCTTGTCATCCGCACTACATCCACGCACATTTAAACAACCCAGTTTTATAAAGTTTTTCTTCTTCTCTTTTTTAGTAAATGTATACAGGAGAAGGGGTTACTAGCCCATTGCTCCCGGCATTTTAGTCGCCTCATACGACACGCATGGCTTACGGAGGAAAGATTCTTTTCCACTTCCCCATGGACAATAGAAGAAATAAAAAAGAACAAGAGCTATTTAGAATAAGGAGAAAAACCTAGATGTATGTATATATATATATGCATGTGCGTGTCTGTGAAGTGTGACCAAAGTGTAAGTAGGAGTAGCAAGATATCCCTGTTATCTAGCGTGTTTATGAGACAGAAAAAGAAAACCAGCAATCCTACCATCATGCAAAACAGTTACAGGTTTTTGTTTCACAGTCATCTGGCAGGACGGTAGTACTTCCCTGGGTGGTTGCTGTCTACCAACCTACTACCTAACAATAGTGTGCTGTAATTGTAGAGATTTAGAATTGGGAGATTAAGAAGCAAGATAGTGAATTAGCATGACTGAGAATAACTTACTATCTCAGTAAGGTTCTAATTCAAGGTGAAAGTGTTTTGAAATAAGTTTTATCACCACGAACAGCAGCCAAATTCATTCATGTACAATCTTGTATGTTGGCAAAAACTTGCATAATACTGTAGTCACCATAGCTAGTGTACAGTACTATAGTATTTGATTTGTGTTATAAAAATATAGTTTGATACTCAAAATGATTTGTCAGTCAATTTATAGAACAATAACTTTGAAAAAAGTTGATTAGATCTATGTACTGTATAATAGAATCAGACAAAGTGACAATGTTGTAAGAAAATTAAAATAAAAAATAAAACCAGCTTGGATGACAGAGCAAATAAGGCAAAAAAATAATGCACTTGTGAAATGAGGCTAATAATAAAAATGTGAGAATTAAGCAAATTATGCTATACAAGATGACACACACTGCAAGAGAAATATTAAATACATTTTTAAAGGAAAATTTTTCATAACATAAAAGCCTACCCCAAAAGAGGCTTGAAAGGTGTAACCCTTCAAGAGGATTTCTTGTTGAGGTGAAAGGCTATTTGTCCCTTTCCTCAGGTGGAAACAGAACACCCCCACACATTCCTTTGGCAAAAATAGCAGGGATATTTCCTCTTTTGTCTGAATTTGTTATAATCTGTAATCTGGTTTGGACCAAGACAAGCGGATTTCAGCGTGAGCTGGCACTGCTGATGCTGCTACTGATACTGCCATTTATACTGCCACTGCTGCTGACACAACACTGCCATTGCTATTGATGCCACCACTGTTGCTGAAGTCACTGGCACTGCTGAGGCTGTGGCTATTGCTGTGATACTGCCACTACTGCTGCTGCTCTTGTAATACATCATCCTCTCTGACTGTCCTGCCTTTAAATGCCAACTACTGTACTTGTGAATTATGATGATGTGTTTTGCAAAATCCTGTTGTACGGTGTATTGAAATGTCATACAGTACAGCATTTTGAAACTCATTGTCCCATCGACTCCCATTACAGTAAACTTTTAATGTGGGGTGTATGTTCCCGAGAATTGCTGTGTTATACAGTATAAAACTGCATTGATTGTAGCATACAGTACAGGATTATGTTCTGGACAACACTTTTTTTAATTACTTTACTAAATAAAAATTGCTTTAAACCTCACAAAATAGCAGTCATCATGGGTAGCACCTAATTCAAGCAATAATCTTGGCAAAGTTGACAAGGTTACTTTCCAACACACACACACTCGTCAGAAAACTTTGTCATGAAGCTTATTGCAATTTTTACATCTCAAACCATTAAACTTATATTGTTGTGAAGGCTCTCCTTCCTTCTCACACACAGTCTATAGTAAGCTAGGGTTTTGTGCCTTACTTTCCGAGTAGCAAGGGAAATCCCTTGTTTCTTCTTCAGTTCACACATTAAGTAGTTTTTCCATCTTATGATACTGTATACACTTTGTCATTCTTCTGAGCAGGTCATAATGTTTACTACTGTACTTAATTCACAAGCTCTTATTGTTTTCTCATTGTTTTTAAATGTATGATTGGTTGATTTTTCACACCAAACTCATGGGCAGTTTCCATCAAATATGCACTACCTCAAAGCATATCTAACACTTCTCTATTCTTCAATAATGTTTAGATTCACTCTTAATGTTTTTGGCACCTCCAGTATCACTATCTTGGGTGCCATGGTTAATACTGTGTCCAGAGACCAAATAGAGTGATAAAAATACCCAATATAGTTTTGTAAACATGGAGCGAGGAACAAGATGCTCCCAGAATACAACCATGGTCAGTGGAAGGGCCAGGAATGAAAGTCTCATAGAGCATAGTACCCAAATTTTCGTGTAGCTGTTGAAATATTCATCTTGCTTAGTACAGTACCAGTTTTTTCAGATTTATTTTTTGGTTGCTGTTTTGAAATGTGCAAATAATGTCCCCCATGAATATAGCAATAATAGCAGAAATGCTAGTTTTAGAGAATTTTTTTTAGCTGTACTTTAATTCATACAAAATAAATATGCAAGCATTAAACATGCACCAACAGTGTATATACAGTTGAAAGTACACTTTAAACAAATTAGGTTTAAAATAATTGGAAAAAATCAAATTACTAAGAGTGAAACTCACCAACTATTGTATTCTTGTTGGTATGATGACTTGAGGCAAACTATGGTAGAGTTGTGTGTTAGTGAGAGGGAGAGGAAGGGGCAGGGTCAGGTGCATCCTCACATGAGCTATCAGCTTCTGGAGGAGGGATCTCGCTGATGGTTACGCTGCTTGTAGAGGGTCTTTTTGCACCTACTTGAGTACTAGGCTTCGAGCTACCTTGCCTGTAGAGGGACGAATTTTAACATCTTTCCAGTGAAAGCTATATAGGTCAACACTTTTATTATATAGCATCCTGTAGCACTGGAACACATTGTTGACCTCATATCTGATGCTAAAGCCTGGTATGGAAGTTTTTTAATGATCTTCAGACATATTTTAATGTATGATTTAAAAATCTTTATCTTACAAAATTAATTGGCTAGAAGCAGGTTTTCCAGCCCTCTCATCCTCTTCATAATGCTGATTCATCATCACTAATGATTTGATCATTCCTCTACCATATTCTTGATTAGTCTCTTCATGATGTGCCTATCTAAGCACATTTGGAGGAATCTCTGGCCTTTTATTAATTGATATAAAAAAACTGGTTCACTCCCTCCAAGCAGTGGCAGTCCTATAGTTTTGGGGCCCTGAAGCTTGAACTATTATGGGGGCTCCTTTGCAGTGCTTCATGTAGCAGACCCAGAATTTTAAGCAATGTGGACTAAAGTCACTTCTGGGGCCCCTCTGGGATTAGGGGCCCTGAAGCCTAGGCTTTATTAGTTTCATAGTAGATCTGCCCCTGGGCTCCAAGAGGTGCCAGAACAATAATGCTGTGATGGATATATGGGCCAATGGGCTGCCAAGAGCAACAGCCTGGTCAAAGAGTGTTAACAGAAAGCTGGGCCCCAGGTCAGGCTGTAAGGGTAGAAAAACTCTAGAAACCAGTCACAGCTATATTTTTTTTTTTCAACAAACCGGCCATATCCCACCAAGGCAGGGTGGCCCAAAAAGAAAAACGAAAGTTTCTCTTTTTAAATTTAGTAATTTTAGTCGCCTCTTACAACACGCATGGCTTACGAAGGAAGAAGTCTGTTCCACTTCCCCATGGAGATAAGAGGAAATAAACAAGAACAAGAACTAGAAAGAAAATACAAGAAAACCCAGAGGGGTGTGTGTATATGTATGCTTGTACATGTGTGTGTAGTGTGACCTAAGTGTAAGTAGAAGTAGCAAGACTTACCTGAAATCTTGCATGTTTGAGACAAAAAAAAGACACCAGCAATCCTACCATCATGTAAAACAGTTACAGGCTTCTGTTTTACACTCACTTGGCAGGACAGTAGTACCTCTCTGGGCAGTTGCTGTCTACCAACCTAATACCTAGGTTTATTCTGATTTGGATTATGCAGATTTTTTTAGGAACTAATTAGGAGCACGAAGTGAGGATTGCTACATAAATTATAGATAATCCTCACCTAATGACACAGTGTACAGTGTTTCAAATCACAGCAACTGAAACAATGGGAACACATTTGTTCCTTGAATTCCTTGGATTTGACCTATGATGCTTAGTTGATTTCTAAGTCTGATCCCTATCATTTGGAGCTTCACAGTCATAGCTTTCATATGTTCTGTAAGTTTGATTTCTTGATTATTGTATTTATTTTCGTTATTATTTTTATTAACACATTTGCCGTTTCCCACCAAGGTAAGGTGGCTTGAAAAAGAAAAAACTTTCACCATCATTCACTCCAATGTCTTGCCAGAGGTGCACTTACACTCCAATTATAAAACAGCAACATTAACACACCTCCTTCAGATTGCAGGCACTGTACTTCCCATCTCCAGGACTCAAAGTCCAGCCTGCTGGTTTCCCTGAATCCCTTCATAAATATTACCCTGCTCACACTCCAACAGCACATCAAGTCCTAAAAACCATTTGTCTCTATTCACTCCTATCTAACATGCTCACACGTGCTTGCTGGAAGTCCAAGCCCCTCGCACACAAAACCTCCTTTACCTCCTCCCTCCAACCTTTCCTAGGCCGACCTCTACCCTGCTTTCCCTCCACTGCAGATTTATACACACTCGAAGTCATTCTATTTTGTTCCACCCTCTCTACATGTCCAAGCCACCTCAACAACCCTTCCTCAGCCCTCTGGATAATAGTTTTGGTAATCCCACACCACCTCCTCATTTCCAAACTATGAATTCTCTGCATTATATTCACACAACACATTGCCCTCAGACACAACATCTTCATTGCCTCCAGCCTTCTCCTTGTTTCAACATTCACCACGCATACTTCACACCCATATAAGAATGTTGGTATACATACATTCCCCTCTTTGCTTCCATGGACAAAGTTCTTTGTCTCCACAGACTCCTCAGTGCACCACTCACCTTTTTTCCCTCATCAATTCTATGATTCACCTCATCTTTCATAGACCCATCTGCTGATGCATCCACTCCTAAATATCTGAATACATTCACCCCCTCCATACTCTCCCTCCAATTTGATATCCAGTCTTTCATTACCTAATTTTTTTTGTTATCCTCAGCACCTTACTCTTTCCTATATTCACTTTTAATTTTCTTCTTTTACATACCCTACCAAACTCATCCACCAACCTCTGCAACTTCTCTTCAGAATCTCCCAAAAGCACAGTGTCATCAGCAAGAGCAACTGTGACAACTCCCACTTTCTGTTAGATTCTTTATCTTTTAACTCCACACCTCTTGCCAACACCTGAGCATTCACTTCTCTTCAAACTCCATCTATAAATATATTGAACAACCATGGTGACATTCCAAATCCTTGTCTAAAGCCTACTTTTACTGGGAAATAATCTCCCCCTCGCCTACATACTCTAACCTGAGCCTCACTATCCTCTTAAAAACTTTTTACCACTTTCAATAATCTACCTCTTATTCCATACATTTGCAACATCTGCCACATTGCCCCCTAATCTACCCTGTCATATACCTTTTCCAAATCCATAAATGCCACAAAAACCTCTTTACCTTTATCTACATACTGTTCACTTATATGTTTCACTGTAAACACTTGGTCTACACACCCCCTACCCTTCCTAAAGCCGCCTTGTTCATCTGCTATCCTACTCTCCATTTTACTCTTAATTCTTTCAGTAATAACTCTACCATACACTTTACCAGGTATACTCAACATTTATTCCCCTATAATTTTTGCACTCTCTTTTGTCTCCTTTGCCTTTATACAAAGGAACTGTGCAAGTTCTCTGCCAGTCCCTAGGTACCTTACCCTCTTCCATACATTTATTAAATAAAAGCACCAGCCACTCCAGAACTATATCCCCACCTGCTTTTAATATTTCTATCTTTATCCCATCAATCCCAGCTGCCTTACCCCCTTTCATTCTACCCACCGCCTCACGAGCTTTCCTTACACTCACAACTCGCTCCTTCTCACTCCTACAAGATGTTATTCCTCCTTGCCCTATACACGAAATCACAGCTTCCCTATCTTCATCAACATTTAACAAATCCTCAGAATATTACCTCCATCTTCCTGATACCTCTAACTTTCCATTTAATAACTCTCCTCTCTTACTTTTAACTGTCAAATCCATTCGTTCCATAGGCTTCCTCAACTTTTTAATCTCACTCCAAAACTTTTTTTTTACTTTCAACAAAATTTGTTGATATCTCACCCACTCTTTCATTTGCTCTCTTTTTACATTACTTCACCACTCTCTTAACCTCTTTTTTCCTCTCCATATACTCCTCCCTCCTTGCATCACTTTTACTTTGTGAAAACCTCTCATTTGCTAACTTTTTCTCTCTTACTAATCTCTACATCATTCCACCAATTGCTCTTCTTCCCTCCCGCTCCCACTTTCCTGTAACCACAAACTTCTGCTGAACCTACCCCATACACGTTCAACCCCATTGCCTATATTCTCACTAGCCCATCTATCCTCCAATAGTTGTTTATATCTTACCCTAACTGCCTCCTCCTTTAGCTAATAAACCTTCTCCTCTCTCTTACTTGCTACTTCTATTTTCCTTGTATCCCATCTACCTTTTACTCTCACTGTAGCTACAACTAAAAAGTGATCTGATATATCTGTGGCCCCTCTATAAATATGTACATCTTGAAGTCTACCCAACAGTCTTTTATCTACCAATACGTAGTCCAACAGACTACTGCCATTACACGCTACATCATACTTTGTTTACCTGTTTATCCTCCTTTTCTTAAAATATGTATTACCTATAAACCAAACTCCTTTCTACACAAAGTTCAATCAAAGGCTCCCATTGTCATTTACACATGGCACCCCAAACTTACCTAACACATCCTCTTTAAATGTTCCTCCTACTTTAGCATTTAGGTCCCCTACCACAATTATTCTCTTGCTTGGTTCAAAAATTCCTACACACTCGCTTAACATCTCCCAAAATCTCTCTCTCCTCTCTTCTCCAGGTTCATACACACTTATTATGATGCACTTTTTTGCAGCCGACCCTCACTTTAATCCACATAATCCTTGAATTTATACATTTATATTCCCTTTTCTCCTTCCATAACTGATCCTTCAATGTTATTGCTACCCTTCCTTAGCTCTAACTCTCTCAGATACTCCTGATTTAATCCCATTTTATTTCTCCCCACTGAAACTCACCTACCCGCTTCAGCTTTGATTCACTCAGAGCTAGGACGTCCCACTTCTTTTCATTCATAACATTAGCAATCATCTCTTTCTTATCATCTGTGTAATTCAATGTTTCAAATGGGTCCAGAGAGGAATGGATAAATTCTATATCTATTGATACCCTCAAGATATTTATATAGGTCTCCATTCAACTGCTGATGCCCACCCACCTTTTTGGCATAAAGCCTTCTAGCTGTTAACATAGTTCCAGTGGGAGACCTCAAGTACATTTCATATACAGTACACAGTAGTGAAGGGTTAGAATTCTTTCCAGTGTTGAAGGACTTGTTGAAATTACATGTCCAACCAGGATGTTGAAAATGAGTTGCTTTGTGTGATCCTCTACCTTGTTCAAAAGTTGGAGATAAGAGTTAGCCATCCAAGAGAGTGAGTGAAATTGTGCCTCATATAGTTTTTCAGCACTAGTAAATATGTTTGAATGTAATTCTCCATGCACAACCATCAAACTGGGAATAAATCTTTAGACAACGTCCTGAATCATTATCAAAACTTCTCTCAAATTTGTAAGTTAGTTGTGAACTTTTCATGTCGTGGTATTGTGACTTATCCTTTAAATTCTCCATAGTTGTTGCAGAGCCACATTCTACACCTGGGATGCCTACTTCATTCTACAATAATGACATTCTTTCAATTACACTTACATAACATTACACTATATAAGGAAGCTTTATGAGAGAGTTTACAGCACTCAGTCTTTGCTGCTGCTGATCATCATCATCATCATCATCATCATCATCATCATCATCATCATCATCATCATCATCATCATCATCATCATCATCATCATCATCATCATCATCATCATCATCATCATCATCATCATCATCATCATCATCATCATCATCATCATCATCATCATCATCATCATCATCATCATCATCATCATCATCATCATCATCATCATCATCATCATCATCATCATCATCATCATCATCATCATCATCATCATCATCATCATCATCATCATCATCATCATCATCATCATCATCATCTTCATTCTTCTTCTCATCTCTTCTTCTCTTCTTTCTTCTTCTTCTTCTCTTCTTCTTCTCTTCTTCTTCTTCTTCTTCTTCTTCTTCTTCCTTCTTCTTCTTCTTCTTCTTCTTCTTCTTCTTCTTCTTCTTCTTCTTCTTCTTCCCAATAGTCAATCCCTGCTTTACCTGTGTTTGAAATATGTGAATTTACTTGATCTTAAAGATTCACATAAGTCCCTGCTTCAGTTTAGTGCGTGTTAATGTTGCTTTGCTCGCTGGGCTGAGGGTGGCATGCAATTCTTGCATCAGTCTCGCCAGTTTAGACTCATAGATTCCCTTCCAAGTGTTTGTGTTGTAACTGGTGGCAACCCTTGTCAGTGGTTACAAATACATTATTGTTTTATTTTGCCTATACGTATATAACATTAGTTTACAATATATCTTTTCCAGAATTAAAGTTCATTGATAAGTGCATTGGTGCAAAGGCTAAGAGAATAATTACTGCAGGGGAAAAATGTATATTTTACAGCAATGAAAGGGATGGGATATAGCAAGGGCTAACAACAACCATACTCCATCCACTTTTGTTTACCAAAAGCTCATACTTTTGATTAAAAAATAAAAACCTGTCTTGAAATAATCACACTTTATTTAAAGCCAGGTCTTCATAAACAACCTTCATGTCCAGACACTCTTAACATGCGTATTTAATGGTTATAATCATAACCATAATTTTTAAAGGGGTTGAATGGTAAGCTAGCAGAAGGCCTCAGTCAGATGGCCAAAAGCTGCAGCTGAAGGCCATCATATGACTAAGACCCGTGTCAGGAAACTCCTCTTTTCTGAGAAACCTTAACTAACCATTATGTCCATCTCTTGCAGCAGCTCATACTGTATGTATTAACATATAGTTTCATACTTTTTTTTCTTTACATTTTAGAACTCCCCATCCCCTTTCCATATTTCCTAGAATGTATCAGAATGTGTATAATGAAAGTGGAGAATGTGATTTGCTTATTATGAGTAGGTTTGTACAGATTGCAACCCCTGAGTTAATTGTAGGTTATATAAGACATCATGATAACTAGTGACCATTATTATGATGTGTGTCTTTTATGATGTAAATGTAATCTGCTCTTTCTCTCATTTATCTCTCTTCTCATCTCTCTCTCTCTTCTCTCGTCTCATTTCATCTCACCATCTCTCTCTCTCATTCTCTCTCTCTCTCTCATTTCTCTCTCTCCTCTCCTTCTCTTCTCTCTCTCTCTCCTCATTCTCTCTTCACTCATTCTCTCTCTCTCTCTCATTCTCTCTCTCTCTCTCATTCTCTCTCTCTCTCTCATTCTCTCTCTCTCTCTCTCTCTCTCTCTCATTCTCTCTCTCTCTCTCTCATTCTCTCTCTCTCTCTCATCTCTCTCTCTCTCTCATCTCTCCTCTCTCTCTCTCTCTCTCTCTCTCTCTCTCTTCTCTCTCCTCTCTCTCTCATCTCTCTCTCTCTCTCCTCTCTCTCTCTCTCTCTCTCTCTCTCTCTCTCTCTCTCTCTCTCTCTCTCTCTCTCTCTCCTCTCTCTCTCTCCCTCCCTCTCTCTCCTCTCTCTCTCTCTCTCTCTCTCTCTCTCCTCTCTCCTCTCTCTCTCTCTCTCTCTCTCTCCCCCTAATGTAACCTCGACTGATCCCTTACGATATCAATCTTCCATCATTTGCTGCCCTTAATAATTAGACAATTATATTATGATTATACAGCAATTATATAGCAGTTAAGTGATGTACACTCGTGAATTACTGTTGTAATTGTGAGAGGCGAGGCGGTGGGCAACTTGAGAGGGAAGAGGGAGGGAGGAGGTATTCGGAGGGGGGGGGGGAGGCAAGTAAATGTTTGAGTTGTTTTGTTTAATTGCTTTTCAAGTTCATTTCGAACAGCAGTTGCAACGTATTCAAGTTGGAGAAATTTAGATTTAGAAGGAATATAGGTAAGTACTGGCTTGGCAGCGGGTGTGCGCTAGAGCTGCATATCATGGGTCAATAGGCTTTCTGCAGTGTTCATTCTTATATTCTTGTGTATGCTTTCGTTTTGTGTATTTTGCGCATTTAATTATGTCTGTCAGCTGTCAACACATGTTATAGTAGGAGTAGCAGAATATATGAATGGCATCATTCAGGAGAAGGACTCGTATGATTTACTCAGTAAATAGAGGTAGGGCGGAGTAATTAGGGAAGGCTCTGGTAGTTCCGGAGGTTGGAGGGGTTAGCTTAGCCTACCTGGAGTCTATCTGGAAGGTATTCCGGGGATTAACGCCCCCGCGGCCCAGTGCACGACCAGGCCTTCCGGTGGATCAGGGCCTGATCAACCAGGCTGTTACTGCTGGCTGCACGTAGCCCAACGTACGAACTACAGCCCGGCTGATCCGGCACCGACTTAACGTATCTGTCCAGCTCCTTCTTGAAGGCAGCCAGGGGCCTATTGGTAATTCCCCTTATGCATGGTGGGAGGCTGTTGAACAGTCTTGAGCCTCGGACACTTATGGTGTTTTCTCTTTGTGTACGAATGGAGCCCCTACTTTTCATTGGGGGTATTTTGTACTTCCTGTCCAGTCTTTTACTTTCGTAGGGAGTGATTTCTGTGTGCAGATTCGGGACCATTCCTTCTAGGATTTTCCAAGTGTAAATTATGAGGTATCTATCTCGCCTGCGTTCCAGTGAGTACAAGTTAATAAGTTTTTCCAAGCGTTCCCAGTAGTTGAGGTGTTTGATGGAATTGATATATGCAGTAAATGTGCTCTGTACACTCTCTAGATCTGCAATTTCACCTACTTTGAACAGAGATGTTAATGTACAGCAGTATTCCAGCCTAGAGAGAACAAGTGATTTGAAAAGGATCATCATTGGCTTGGCATCTCTTGTTTTGAACGTTCTCATTACCCATCCATTTGTGATCGCGGCACTGTTCTGATCCTTGAAAGTGAGATCCTCAGACATTACCACTTCCAGGTCCCTCATTATTTTTTTCGCCCTATTGTATGATCAGAGTTTGTAGTATACTCTGTTCTAATTAATATCTCTTCCAGTTTTCCATAACGAAGTAGTTGGAATTTGTCTTCATTGAACATCATATTGTTTTCCGTTGCCCATTGGAAAACTGGTTTATATCTTCTTGGCGGTTAATCGTGTCATCAATAGATGACAGTCTCATGCAGATCCTAGTATCGTTTGCAAAGGATGACACTGTGCTGTGGATTACATCTCTGTCTATGTCTGATATGAGGATGAGGAACAGGATGAGGGCGAGTACTGTGCCTTGTGGAACACAGCTTTTCACAACTACCTCTGCCTAATGTTGGCGGAGGTAGTTAGGAAGGCTGATGTGAATTGGGTTGGCTGGTAGTTGGCCGAAACAAGCTGAATTTTGGCCAAAACCTATGGTGTCAGTATAGTGTGTGGTGGGTTAATGAGAAGTGGTGGTGGTGGTGTCAGAACAGTGTTGGGGTTAGCCAGAAGTTATGATCAGTACACTGTGCAGGTGTTAGGCAAAAGTCGTAGTGCTGTCAGTAAAGAATGTGGATGTTAGGCAGAAGTCATGTTATCAGGACTGTGTGGAGGTTAATGAGGTGATACAGTAGTGTTATCAGACCAGGGTGTGGATGTTAGAACTGGTGAGTTGTTGAGACTTACTTTATGTTGGCTGGAGGAAGGGTGGTACGCCGCCTGTGCAAGACACGCTGGAAGGGGATGAACGGCATCTTCGGGGAGTTGTTGTTGCTGCTGTCGGTGGTGTCGTTTTTAAGACTGCGGCTGCGTCTGTCCTTCTTGCGCCGCTCCAGCCGGAGGTTGCCGAGGGAGTCGGTGACGTCGTCTACGTTGGCGAAACGACGGTGTTGGTGCTCGTCGTCGAGACGTTGTGAGAGTGGTTGCGGGAGGGCCTGTGGCTTCCACTGCCGCTCTCCCATTGACTGTTGCGACTCACGGGAGACTGACGCCGCGAGCTATATTACAAACATGTTGGAAATAATAAAAATACACGATATATTCTTATACAATACAGGGGGCACAAGCAACCCATACGGCGATAAATAAAAAAAATAGTGTATTGCATATTTTGATCTCAATGGGGTCTTTATTAAGAGACACTAAGGAAACTGTTTACACAAGATCCGGGTCAGATGGCCTGAAGGTAGGAGGAGAACACGTGACCTCAGAGCTAGAACAGTAGTAACGTCAGGATTCCAACGTTCATGTGGTGTTTGTAAAATGAGGGTATGACATAGGATGACCCACCTGCGGTTAGACCTGCTGAGCACTCGCTGGAAGGGCACGTATCTGTCACTGGGCAGCTTCAGGCGACCGTTCTCATCCCTCGCAGCCATGATGTTTGTCTTACCACCCGTAGCCTTCACCTCCACGTGTTTCACACCAGCCACGAATTCTGCTGCGAAACCACGTGTTTCACACTAGCTTCGGCAGTACTGCTGCTACACCAAGTAGTCTCACTAGCCTTGGCAACTGGTGCTCACACTAGCTCATCCGCTGTCCTAGCGAGGATCACATTGCTTGGTCCTGAGGCAGACAAATGACTCAAAGAAACATTCAGAAAATCAAACTAATTAGCATTCAGAAAATCAACTAATCAACAAACAAGAAAGGGCTTATAATATTATTGAGAATGACAGCAAAACTAAGCAATGCAGTGTTGGAATGGGGTAACATTCAATTAACTAGGAACATACGTACACTTGTTATTACATTCCAATACACCCCCGGGACAATTACACAATAATTCAGTTTAAGTGCTCGTGTAAGTGTACAGTGGATCCGTCTGACGTCACCAACACAACCTTGACCTATTGTACGGACAGCTGTATGATGCATAAGAGTTTAGCACTTTTTAAATAATAATTTTCATTATTGTTTATTATCTATCAGGCACACGCACTCGCAAGGACACACAAACACAAATACACTCAGGCGCTCACTCAAACACATGCAACGAGGTTTGTTCCAGAGATATGAGAGCTTCGAGAAACTAACAAAAGTGTACGTAATGACATTGGAGGACAATAACCAGGGAAGATGTGATAACCGTACTCGTACCTGAAATACTCAGAACTGATAAGGTGAACAGGGACAAGCTGTTTCAGAGGCGAGAAACTGGTTCTCGGGATCAAGCTGAAGTTAAGACAGCTATTCAGAATATTTTTTCGGTCTCAAGAGATCTAGATGAAGGGTTGAGGCGACTTCATACATAGTTTTAAGAACAAGTATAACAAACCCACGAGCTACTAGCTAGAGGGAAAATCTGCAAGTAAGAGCGAGCCAGGAGCAGACTGAACCACTGCAACACACATACAGTATTTTACACACACACACACACACACACAACGAGGTATTCAAGATATTCCATATTCTGTGAAGTGCTATACCAGGCTCTTGTGTTTTCCCCATTAAATGGCGTGCGTTTTTTTTGTATTTTGCTCAAAATACAACTTTAAGAATTATCTTACACGACATCTTAACGGGGACAGATTATAAGACAGTAATTTCACTCAGGAATTTGAGGCTAATTGAGACGAATTTTTAAGGCAAATGTTGAAAATAATTTGTCAAACAATATTTAGCAATGTAATTAAATTATTTAAGTAATTTCCTAGTGTTATTTGGTAATGAATTAGGACAAGATTTGGTTTTCTCCGATAAATGTACCCATCAAGATCGAGGAGGAGGAGGAGGAGTTGATGCTGGTGAAGGGCTCTTGATTCAAGTCATTAGAGCTACTTACTCTGATTAAAACTTGAATACCTCTCATTCGCAAGGTACTGTTTGACACCAACCAGTTTATAGCTGTTCTGTGAATATAATAACTTTGATAATCTTCAGTTTTCCAGCACAGTATTTGGCACTGTGAACTCTGCGGCTAGTTTGGCACTTAATTAGTAGGGTGGAGTTGCTATCGCATCGTTACCTCTTGAAGAATTCAGTCTCCTGGGGGAGGGTAAGGAGGGAGGGTCTTCCCACGAAGGTAGGAACAATTAAGGAAGTTAACTCACGCGAGCCAGGCAGAACAAGTACTTCACGGTTGTTCTACTGTGTGTTTTCCCTCATGGGAGGTTCCTTAGCACTGGTGCAGGGCTCTTGATTCAAGGAACTGAACCAACCTCCACTTGGTGTGTTTTGATTAATGAAACGTTCGTGTTGTTATTGAGCTGCGTGAGTCCCCACCGCTGCCACTAATTTGTGCTATCTGTATGTCGGCTAACCTCGGTTACATGTTTCGACATGTTAGTAAAACCAGCGGATACGTCCTGAAATAAGGTACAGAGGAGTTTTACAGCAAGTCCAGTTTCTTTGCTGTTATTTTTTTTGTTAACGCTATGAACGTTGAGTGACATACGCAGTCACAGTGGCCCGTCAGTGTCACAGCCTGTAGCTTCAAAACTGATATGCCTACGCCCAGGGCTGCGCGTCCCCACTACACATGCGCAGTGGCATGGTGCCACCAGCTGTAGATGCAGAATTGGTATGCACCGCTCTGAGCGTTGCAGCTGTACACAAGGTCCCTACATTCCTGTATTGGATACTGCTGTGTTTTCTGTTGTGCTCAGGGCACTCCTGCTTTTTGCTGGACTCCAATGGAAATAAGTCACTCTGAATTTTCTGTGTTATTCTAGGTACTTTACACGCATGCTGCTATGTATGATAATCTATGTAACTGTATTTATGTATACCTGAATAAATTTACTATGCTTTCTCTCCTGCCAGGATAATGGTTCTTTTGTATGAATTAAGAAAGCACTAGCACCGTGCGGTTATTCAATACTTTTAACAAAACATTGATATTATTTATCAGTTACTGCCATCATTAGCATTAGTTACTGCCATCATTGCTGTTATTAATACCAGTTTGCTCTTCATAATCACAATATAATTAATCATAAGTTCGTTAGTCACAGTCCGAAGCACATACATAATTTGTTCTTCATTTCAAGTCATTGGCTAAAAAGCACAGTAAACTTTGTTGAAATGGCTGTTCAGGTCGAAAAAAAAGGGTTAGTGGGTTTATAGTAAGACTCAGCCAGGATAAACATGACTTATTGGTGGCCAGAGATACCTTGCTCGATCACACTGCAGTCTAGTTAGTCCAGTTGCTCTAATTACTGTTCTAGTTCTTGAGTATTGTAATCTCTGGTGCAGACAGTGACGTATAAAATCTACCATTATGACAAGGGAATACAGTGGACCCTCGACCAACGATATTAATCCATTCCTGAGAGCTCATTGTTACTCGAAATTATCGTTAGTCGAGTTAATTTTCCCCATAAGGAAAATGGAAATCAAATTAATCTGTTCCTGACACCCCAAAGTATTGAAAAAACATTTTTACCACATGAAATATTTATTTTAATACACACAAACTGAAGAAGACATGTACAATTACATGACACTTACCTTTATTGAAGATCTGGTGATGATTGATGGGATGGGAGGAGGGGAGAGTGTTGATGGTGTTAGTGTTTAGAAGGGGAATCCCCTTCCATTAGGACTTTAGGTGTCAAGTCCTTAAGGACATTGTTTTTCCTGAACACACTGGGAGTTTCAGAGTGATACACCAATAAAGGCTTCACTTTGCAATCACCACTAGCATTAGCACACATTAACAGAGTAAGCCTGTCTTTCATAGGCTTATGTCCTGGGAGTGCCTTTTCCTCCTGAGTAATGTAGGTCCTGCTCGGCATTTTCTTCCAAAACAGGCCTGTTTCGTCACAATTAAACACTTGTTCAGGTTTTAATTCTTCACTGTCTATGTACTCCTTGAATTCCTGCACATATTTTTCAGCTGCTTTTTGGTCCGAACTGGCAGCCTCACCATGCCTTATCACACTATGTATGCCACTACGATTCTTAAATCTCTCAAACCAACCTTTGCTGGCCTCAAAGCCTCACCATGCCTTATCACACTATGTAATGCCACTAGATGCTAAATCTACTCGATTTCTTAAATCCACTACAAGTTCACAACTTTGCTGGTCTAATAAATTCACTCAAGTAACACCTACCTTATTGCACATTTTTTGCTAATTAATCCTGCTATTGGATTTTCGTTACCACACAATGACAGCTCTGAGACATGCTCTATCCTGCTATGCTTTTCAATCATAGTTTCCACCTTGCAATACAGTCTTCTGAGCCATTATATCTTGGATCTCATTCAAAAAGCATGTTGACTTTGGAAAGTTCCGATTGCTTTTCTGGCCCATGTGCTGGTTGAGACAACTGGCCAGCTCCACTTCCATACTTACAATGATCTCTTTCTTCATATCCATAGTAATTCTCACCCTTTTTGCTGTAGGGTTGGCACTAGAAGCTTTCTTGGGGCCCATGGTGACTTATTTTGCAGGTTCAATCACTAAAAACGCTGTGATAATATGAAATGTTCCGATTGTATGTTTGGATGGGACCGCGTGGCTGGCTGGCTTGTAAACACTGGCGCACTCAGGCCACAAGTGGACGTGACTCAAACGAATCATGTTGGTCGAGTTTTTTAGCGCTAGTTCGAGGCAAAATTTTTGCGTTAAAATGTATCGCTAGTCGGATTTAACGTTAGACGATGCCATCGTTGTTCGAGGGTCCACTGTACTAGCTAAAACTTTTGATATTTCTTATTTTTTAACTAACTTAGAAGAGTGTTTGTCTTGTGTGCTTGATAGTGTGATTAGTTTATATTTTTTCTGATGGTTTTAGCTTGAGTGTTAGTGTGTGTATGTAATGGTTGAATTATCCACAATGTATTAGGTAAAAGGACACAAGTGCAAGTAATGTGATATTCTATTGTGGCAGCGTTTCGCTCTCCAGGATCTTTATCAAGCCTTAACGATTTAGCAAAGCTCCTGGAGGGCGAAACGTTACCGCAACACAATGTCGCATTAGTTGCACTTGTCCTTTTACCTGACGTGTATGAGTATGTTCATCTTCGTAGCAAATGGGAAGGACTTGCCGTCTCCTGGGATATTTATTGAAGTAATAAATTACAATTAACGTTTCGGTAAAAAGACAGTAAATTGTTTGCATTTCCTGCAATAACTGCCCAAGGAATCTGCAAGTCTTTCCTACCTGCTATGAAATATTCTCTTAAGTTCAGTCTTACACATGCAATACAATCATAAACAGGCGATCTTAGTGCAGAAAAAGTCATATGGGGATGGAAATCTTTAGCTCTGGATCTTTCTCACCCTCTGTGCGTCATCAGGAGCTATGCAATGTTGCAAGACTAGCAACAGATAGTAGGGAGAAAATTCTTGAGACAAGGCAGAAGCGTAAAGCGTCAGACCATGTCACTGTGACATGGCCCGTGTCTTGTTCTGCACTCTTACATATGTATGGATTCTGTATATAACGAAATCTTTGTTCCTTGGCTTAAAAGATAAGCTTATTCAGGTTCTCTGCTTATAATTATACAGACTATTATACATTTATACAATATTTGCAATAGCACAGAATTGTTATATACATATATTGGTAGTAAATTATATAAAGATCACCTATGATAACCCAAGAAAGTTAGC